CCCTGCCACTGCGCTCTCACTACTCTTCAACACGGGACAGACGACCCGGGGAAAGGAAAACGCAGTCTTTGTACTGAAGGAGTGTGAGTGTGTGTGTGTGTATTAACCCGTGTCCAGTGAGGAAGGACTATCCTGCGGTGGGATAACCGTAATTAAGAGGGGCTGCTAGGGGGCCTGGAAGGCAGGAGGGGGGACGGGGCTTGCTCGTCACTGCCTTCTTCTTGCTGAGTTGGCATCACACGACGACACCTCACCATGGCAGCAACAGGTGGTTCCAGGAGAGCGGGGGATTCCAGTGTGAAGCTTTCTGATGCTCCCAGTAGCCCCTCCTCAGAGGTCTGTTGCCCAGCCCTGGAGTGTTAGCTCCATAAGTAACTCTTCCTGCACCACCGACTTCTCTTATCAATACCTAGTGTTTTTGTATTTTCAGTTCTCAATTACCTGGTTAACCATTCTTTACATTAAAGAACCTCTATTAATATAACCAGTGGGGTCTGATTGCTATCTGGACCCTGAAATGATCTAATGTCTATTTCCTGTGATCCAAACAGCTAGCCTGAGACTCAGCCTAATGCCAGTAAGAAGCAGAGATTAGCAAAGGCCCAGCACTCTAAAATTTGAATACCCACTGGAAACACCATTGATTTTCTTAGTAGGGCTGACAGTACCAGTCCACCTGGCATTATTTCCCACGATACCATTGCTATAGAGTCCATAATGATAAAACTGTAGAGCATCTACCCTCATGACAAATAAAATATACCAAAGATATTAAAAGATGGAAAATCTCAGAAATGGATGACAGGATTCTTTGGAACAACAAAATGAAAATTAAGTACTTTTCTCTAGTAAAGTCAATGGTGAGCTCAACATTTACCTTTAATTGGACTCTCTGTGCCCGTGTTTCTTCTATCTTCTGTCGGATCTTATCTTTCCTATATTCTTCATAAGCAAATGGATTTACCATCAACTTCACCTTTTCAAAGTAAAAAAAAAATTAAAGAATTGTATTTAGCAGCACGTTTCATATACACCATGACTATTGTGTCAGAGAACAGACAGGTCTCTCACAAATCCTAAGTATGTTTCATGAAAACGTAAGTCAGTAGAGAAGAAATGGCTACAGACTGCTCATTAGTAACAGCACTTCTGTATTTACCTTGTGATAGAGTCTGATGTCCATGAAAAATCCATGCATATATGCCCGGAGAAAAGGTGATCCAATGAGATGTGTGAGCCCTGGGGAAAGTCAATTGGAAGAGGGCAGGTCCTTAGTGAACCTCTTACAACAGTAATTCACATTCACCTAGTATGTTTAGACACTGTACTGAGTACTTTTCAGGCATTATCTGTTCCAGTCGCCAAACAAGTCTAGGGTAGATGCCATTATTATTGCCATTCTACAGATGATGAAATCAAGGCATACTGAGGTTAAGTACATTGGCCAAAGCCATAGTAGAGGTGGGATATGGACCCCTGCCAGTCTGTCTCCAATGCTCACTGCCTTCTTGACAGAAATTTTTTCTAAATATAGGTAGCATGCTAAAAAAAGTATTCCTTATTTAAGAACCAAAAAGCTCCAGTAGGTTGAACTTGTTTGAACCTTTCTCTAAGCACAGATTACTCATGTGACAATATACACTATGCTTAGTATCTGATTTGGCAGAGGATAAGACTTGGAAAATCAGATGAATGTGACTCCACCGCTTCTAAAATGTTCAAATCTGCCCCCCAAAACAAAGGAGAACAAACATAATTTTATAATCATTTTATCCTAGTTTCTTTTCTTACCTAAATTCTCAAGGTCTTTCTTGGTGACGAATTTGTAATCATCATAAACAGTGCTCTCTGGGTTCTCCTCCAGCTCCTCCGTCAAGTTGTCTAAGAAGGAGCACCACCTGGGCGCAGGGCCCAACACCTGCCGGGTAGACGGAAAGTTAGCAAATGGACATTCTCACATGTCAACTGAGTTAGTTATGTTACAACCAGACTTCCTTAAATATAGTTTTTAAGCCCTTCATTCTATCCGAAGTACTGAAAATACCTGCAACGTGCAGTCAACAAGCATATAATGGGAGAGAGCGAAAATGGGGGACCAGGCTTGTCAGGAAACCTTTTAGGTTGGGACCGAAGATATTAATGATATTCTCACATCAGACTACAGAAACAGAAACAACTCAGGCACTTATAATAACATCCATCCATTTATCTATCACCTCTTTCATTCAAAACAATACTAGAATCTACAAAAATACATTTGGTATAGCAGATTTTTAAAGTTTGTCATTCACAAAAGAGAAAGGTCCAAAATGAGAATTACCTTTTTCAAGGGTTTTCAACTAGTTACTTGATAATTATATCTGCTCTTATATGATCTATTTCATTTAATTCATTAAAAATTAAAACTCTGTATATAAAATTTATCATACTTAACCTAAATTGGGATGCCAGGATCCATGAATTAATCCCAATGAAAGGTTGAGGAACAAAGGACTGAACAGAATTTATAATCAACTAATAAGATCTGAGTAGTCCTTCAGTTTGCAATCCATAAACTACTGATTGCCTTTTGCTTTTGGATCTGATACAGACGCCGCACCCACCGAGGAGAGGCCGAGCCCAGAGGAAACTCCAGTTCAGTGGGAAGCTATGCTGTTGAAATCCTCTCTGAAGTGGGGGCTTTCAGGAGAGAGAACACTGCCTCTGACAAACAGAACTTCCACTGACTACCTGCCTGTGAATTCTGACAGTAATCAATCAATCAGGAAAAAAACAAATCATAACAGAAATGATGAAATCTAGCTTAAACTGTTTGGAGAAGGGAAGGTGGGGAGGAAGAGAGTTATAACAAAGAAAAGTGGCCCCTAATGCCCTCTTCAATAAAAAAAGGATATCAGATATAGCCATATTAATATATATTTTGCCTGATTTGAAAGGATGACTCCACCCCTACCGCCGAAGGCCATGAACATGAAAAACAACTCTCAGTGAGCACAGGAGTCCTATCAAGAAGTTTCATATTACTACAGTCTGTACAATTTTTGAAAACAAGATTATATACATGAAGTGGTTTGACTATAACCCTAGAAGACAAACTTTCAAGAAATGCAAAGCATCTTTTAAACATTCAATGAAGAACACTTTTTAAAGAAACTGCTAAGATTTTAAGCAATTTTAGGATAGTCGTTGTAGTCACAAATATTGATACCAAACACTGCCACATTTAAAGCACTGTGCTACATCAGTCCCTGCCCGTGATCTCCCTGAAGGAGCATCAAGTCAGCTGGAGCAGAGAGGCGCGCGCGCACGCCTGCACACAAGCAGCCGTTTAACGCAATGCACTGAGACTGCGCGGAGTCCACAGGGAAGATAGGCGAGAGCTGCAGAAAACAGGGCTGGCTGGACACTGAGTGAGTATATCTGAAAGGATTTCAAGGTGGAATGAACACATGAGCAAGCTGGGAAACCACGGGGCACCTTCTGAGAGTGAGAGTTCAGGCACCTGCCACTACAGGGGGACCTGCTTCCCATCAGCCTTAAGTCTCCCATGGAAAGCTCCACCCCACGGCGGGTACAACCCGAGAGAGCCATCGTTTCTCAGACAGGAAGGAAGTACCACTATCACTTCTCTAGAATGTAAGGTCCAAGCTCCTACTCTCGGAAGAGCAGGAACTTCATGTGTTTTAAATAGTGAATTGCCAGTACCTAGGACATTACCTGCCAAGCAGCAACTGTTCAATAAATATTTCTTACAAAAATCTACTCATACACAAAACATGTCCAAATGCATTCATGACTTTCATGTGCATAAGGTACTAAGACTTAAAAGGTCCCATTTGATAATTTTTTTAAATTGTCTAATTGTCCTTATTCAGATAAAAATACTCAGATGCCTCACTATAAAACCACTGGATATGAGAACACTTTTTGGTAAAGTCAGATGGACACTGGTTACTAAAAGACCTCATAATAAAGCAGTTTCACCTCTGAACCTTAAATCAGTCAGACACACGGCTGAAATATCAAAACAGCAGACCAGATCTGATTCACTTTCCCAGTCCTTTTCATAATGTTCCACAACGTGCTTTTTGATCAGTTATCTGGTCCTAATGGAATTGTTTCAAATTGCCTCTCAGGGACAGGTCTGGTTATGGTAAATAACCTCTGCAATCAAATTCATGGTCATTAAATTTTATAGGAGGAAATAGTTCCATCAAAAACAAAATGAAATCTAATGGGCTGATTTTATTAACCACGTTTCCCTAGTTCCTTTTCAGAGAAAATAACACAGAACAACCATAACAAAGTTCAAATGACTGATTTAAGAGGTATTAAACCTCAGGTTTTAACCACAGTAGAGCTTTCCTCAAAGGTCTACCATTAAGGTGCCCAAACAGTGGCCGCTTAGCCAGTAAGGAGGGGCTTACCCATGTGCACGCACCCTGCTGGACCTAGAATGAACCCAACATTAACTAACTGGTAAAAATCCCTGCTGTCTTCATTCATAAAATATATTAAACCTCCAACTAATCCTTTAAAATATATTAACTTATTTCCTAAATTTCAGGCTTTACAACTTCAAGAAAGCATTCTTTAACCAGTGGTATACTATTACTACTATATCAAAAGTTTCTGGGTTTTTCTGTATTGTCATTATATTCCTATATTTATACTTCAGTCAAAACTGATTATTACTTGTTTATCTACATTTTTATGCACCCTAAGAGTTCTGTTTCAGAAAAAGGGTGAGGACTGCTCTATTTAAAACTTCTATTAGCTGTTAATGACCTTCCACTTTTTATTTATAAAAATTTCCTAAAGTCACAAGTCAGTAAAACTGGAAACTGGAACTGGAAACTGATCCATTAAGCTGCTATAAAGGGATATTGTGGGTCCCTTAGCAACTTCCCTATCTTGTCAAGCAATCTAAATGGAAACACTTGCGCCTCCAAAATAGGAAAAGACTCTTTATTGACATGTTATGGGAAGGCCTCAACTCAAAGGCAGCCAAGTATCTGCTGGTTCTAACCCATGAGGTGGAAGAACCAATTTTAAAGTACATAAAACTACATGCCACGTGCCCAAGATCACCTGCCTTGATGACTACAATCTGCCTTTAAAATGTTAATTACATGTTTAATTTTAAACATGTAATTAACATTTTAAAATGTTAAATGTAAAATTCTCATAGATTCTGGTAATGCACAAAAATGACTACGGGTGGGGAGGAAAGAGGGTGAATATTAAAATTCTCAGGGAGCTGACAGGGAAGAGTGGCCCTCCCCACTCTACTTCTGAAGAACTACTGTGCCTCAGGAGACTAGGCTGAGGACATTAGATAGATAGTCTTAACAGGTCAAGGGTGATTAAAATAACAACAAAGAAAAGTATTGTTAATGTTATTGGAGACAAAGACCCAAACTATACTAATTTAGTGTAAATGGCTCCATTTTTCCAGTTACTTATAATGTTACTGAGTATGACAAAATAATTTTATTTTCCTATTATTAATATGAAAGAAAATAATAATATAGAACAGCAATTAAATGTGACATTGTCTTGTATTTCTAATGATTAAAAAAAAAATTTAAAAACCTTTAGCAACTAAGAAAATTCTTAATTACTCCAGTAGAACCATACCAACAGACAATAAGTAGCTTAGCACAAAAATGGGCTTATGCATGGGAAAGTTTAACTGAAATACAATTACATCAGAACACACAGAAGCATATAATACATCCAAGTACATGCAGCTGAGTTTTAAAAATCTTCTTCTAAAAAATTTTCAAAATGTATTGCAGCATAGTGTGAAGTGGGACCTATGTTTGAATAACTGGAAAGAGAATGGTGATAGCATCAGAGAGTATAACTCACACGGCAGAAGGACTTATTTTAAGTTCAGACAATAAAACTTGACCCATTAAATGTAAGGAGGTAGATTTTCAATCATCACATATTTACTGAGTTTATTATGTTCCAGGTACAGTATACTCTATAAAATTAGGTAGCAGAATGAAATCTAACAGGAAAAGAGTTGTTTCACATACAGCAACATATGTGTGGAAGGATTAGAAGATTCTTAATTTTCTTAACTTCACTGTATTCATTCAAAAGCTTAAGTGAGCATTTACTAAAAGCTAAGTGCTAATGATGAAATATAAGTAAAACAAGTTTGGGAAACAATCAAGTGCAATACATTGTGATTAGTGCCACAGAAGAGAAATTTTTAAATGGTTCTGGCAGCCCATTACCTGCTGAGGCAGGAAACTGAGGGAGCACTGAAGGAGACACACTATTATCTTGAAACACTCTAAGAGGTCATGATTTTATACTCAGTAAAACATAGCTGCCACAGTTAGAATTTAATGCCACATAAAATTAATATATATTTTACTCATTAATTATAGAGAAGATGCCTGGTTAGAAGAATTGTCAATTTTACCTTTTAGTGATCTAATATTACTATAATGTGAGAAACTCAATTTAAACATTATTTATATTATGGCACCACTGAACAGATAAAGAACTGTACTTAATGACAAGTAACAATGAACAGTTTGACTATAAAATCATTTTACCACCTTGCAACCATGTAAATGATTAAATATTTTGTTAGCAGAAGTGTTTTTTGGGGCAGCCTAAAAGTAGATATTTATATCAGTTCTAGAACTGGAGCAATAACAACAATAAATATAGCAAAAATATTAGTAGCAATAGCAAAAAAATAATAAAACACTCTAAAAGGTAAGATTTTAACCCTCTATAAGAATTTTAACCCACAGCCAACAGAGATCTGTCACTCTTACTATAAGGCCTTAACTCTATCAGAAACTACTGGGGCCGAAAGGCTTTGAAACTCAGGATTTTTTTTGCATTTTAAAAGGCAAGACAGTCTGTATACTGTGTATTACATAAACT